AAAACAGAAAAGCAAAATGTTTACTTCAAGTGACATCTTTTTCAAACCACATAGTGTTTATTGGAAACACTGTAAACATAATTTCTACCAGCTTTTAGTCCGACAGAGGCCAAACCTCGGACACTGGTCCTAAGTTAACAGCTATCTGAGTGAATAATACTGAAATCAAAAGTAAAAAAAAAAAAAAGAATGCTTATGCTCAGACATTGTTTATGCGAGGTGGGATAGTAACCTCAGGTTTCTCAAGAAAGGAAGACTCAGCAAGATCAATGGCTCGGGCTAAACCCGCTGCTTTGTTCTCACACTCTCTCTGTTCATCATCAGGGTTACTATCTGCAACAACCCCAGCTCCAGCCTGAATATGAGCAATCCACTCTCTACGTCTCTGAGGATGCTTGTACGAGTACAATGTGTCATAACGAGCATTTGTAGGGAAGACCATTGTCCTGAGAGACAAGGCAATGTCCATGTCTCCATTAAACGAAATGCCTCCAAACCCTCCACTGTAAGGACCACGCCTCTTTACTTCCAATTCATCTATCAGCTCCATGGCTTTTACCTGTATCAAAATGACTTCTTCTTTTTTATAGTATGGTGAATGAGAAATGACTTTGTAGTTCTGTGAGAGAAATGTGTGTAGTGAGAGAGAAACCTTTGGGGCTCCGCTGACGGTTCCAACGGGAAGTGCAGCTCTTAGAGCGTCCCAGCTTGTTAGATGATCGAGTAATTCACCTGTTACCTGTGAAGAAGGAGATGTGTTGCTGAGACAAACATAATTTAACATGTTCAACTCATTTGCAAATGGAACGGACAGCGTATTATGGAGCTTAATGTGCCTAACATCATGTGAAGCTAAAGCTTCATGGTTTCTTTAGTCTTAGACGGAACCAGGCTTTCAACACCACATTTATTCGATATTTTATGATTCAAGTAAACTAATTAGAGCGGAAAAAACAAGTTATCTGGAAATCCATTGAAATGAAAGGACTTTGGAACTAAAAGTTTGTTTGCTTTGCAATAGAAGCATACCGTGGAGCTTATGTGCATGACATGTGAATACCGTTCTATATTCATGAGCTTCTCAACCTCCACAGAACCGGGTTTCGAAACCTGAATTCACAAGCACGTCCAATGAGTTAAATGTTCGGCCAAAAACTGCATCTTTCCTTACTGAAGAAAAGGATAAGAGACTGAAGTTAAAATAAAAGTTTAGCAACGGTTGAGGGATGAACCTTGCCGACATCGTTTCTTCCCAAATCAACAAGCATTATATGCTCTGCACACTGTTTTTCATCGCTTAAGAGCTCTTTTTCAAGCATTAGATCTTCTTTGGGTGTCTTTCCTCGTCTGACGGTTCCAGCAAGAGGGCGGTTGGTAATTTTCCTCTTCAGGAGAAGGAAAAAACACACTGAGCCATTCATTTACTAGTAAACGGAAAAGATGAGGTTCAAGGATTAAGGGAGCTAAAGCTAGGAGGAGAGTATCGTGGTACTTACCTTTTTCGAACGTAACAATATTTCTGGACTTGAAGCGACTAATATGCATCCTCTAGCCTGTAAGATTAACACAAAGAGAAATCCCCAGATTAGTAATATCCATCTTTGGAAAATATGTAAGAAACAAGGACCAAAGAGCGATTATACCTGTAAATAAGCCATGTACGGACTTGGGTTTACAATCCTAAGAGCTCTATATATCTCAAATGGGTCTGCAAATGTCCGCCTTTCAAATCTTTGACTAAGAACTATCTGGAAGATGTCCCCAGCAAGAATATGTTCTTTGGCTTCCAACACTGCCTTCTTGTATGCCTCACTCGTCATAGTTGATTTCTCCAGTTTCGGACCAAATAGCTGAGTGCGTAGTTTTATGAAACCAGTAGGCATCTTGGGGCTGCAGTCAAAAGAAACAAGCATGATTGACCAGAACTTATAAATAAGAGACAATTATAAAACAAGACTGGTAGAATGATCAACTCACGGTTTTTGGTCTTGAATCCTCGAGCCTAGGGATTCTAACTGATCCATTCCATCAGTGAAATTATCTTCGACAGTACGATCCTTATCTATCCGCACCCAATGGATCACATATGCTTTCTGTGCTCAACAGGAGTTGAGCAAGACATAATAATAATGACTCATCAAGGATGGTATCAAAATCAAGACAAAAAATTTCAAACTGTGTCTAAGTAACTTGTCTATCCATAATCCACAGAAAGATACTAGGAACAACAGCATACCTTCTCGACATGATCAAACACAATCACATCATCATAAAGGCCCAAATGAACATCAGGAAGACTCCTATCATCCTCTGGAGCATTTGAAAAGGGCAGCTTCTTCTTCTCAACATAGCGCACAGTGTCGTATGAGAAGTACCCGACCCAACCACCTGGTTAACAAAGGAGAACACCTTCAGCTCAGCAAATGCTATATTTCCATACTAACTACAGGAAAAAACATCAGCTTGTTAAAAACTTAGCTACGTTAGATATCTTGTCTTACCACAAAAAGCTTCAGGTAACTCATCAATGCGTTGTGGTTTCCATTCCTCCATGATTTTTTGAGGAACCATCATTGGATCTTCCACTTCCTCCTCTGTCCTACGACCTGCTCCATGGTCCATCACAGTAACCACATTTCCCTTTGCTACAATTTCAATTGTGGGTTGAGCTCCAACTACACTATACCTTCCCTAAGATATTTCTCCAAGACACTGTTATGCAAAATTCAATTCATGGAGCCGGAAAGAAACGGTAGAAATGGAAACATGATAGCTTACGATATTGGAAGCTTGCAGACCAGGCTCCACTGACTCAAACAAGAAGCTAGGAGCATCTCGATCGTCTTCTTTCACCAAACATCGGTATGCAAGTATTGGAGTCAAATGATCCGAGAAGACGCATCGGTATAGAGGAACTAAGTTTCCCTTTTCCGCTGCTTCCTTGAATTTTGTCAACTGGTCCGCTACTAAATCTGGCCGGAGGAAGTAAACTCAGATGAGAATTTGGCCAGAAATAGAGGCGCTGATTTGCGAGGGGGAAGAGTGTGTTAGTTTACCTAAAGATGGAGTAGATGAGGAAGAGCATTTGATAGAACGAAGACGCGAGGTTAAGTTGCAGACTCGGAGGACCTTTGATCGGGAGTCAGATGCTCCACCGTCAAAGTGAAGATAAGTGGCAGGCGGGGAAGCGATCGACGACGGAAATCGGAGGGAAGGAGGTGATTGAAGCGGCCGATGGTGCGTAACGGATATGGCCTCAACGGCAGAAAAATCAGATGCGGCGGAGAAGATTGAAACGGCAGACATCACAGGGAAACCGTTGATTTCAACTCTTTCGCTATCAGTTTAAAGAGGAGGAGAAACCCATGGGTACAAAAATGGTGACTCAGAATCGAGAAATTGTCTGAAAAGGCCACTTTGACCAATATATAAGCTGAAAAGACACCAATTTAGATGATTTTCGTTTTGATTTATTTTTAATCTGAAAAATAGGTTAGTTACCATCTTACCCTAAAGAAAACTTAAAAATTACACAAAATACCTCGGTTTTATCCGCCAAACCGTGTTCCCAAACCGAGACCCAAACCATCCCCAAACCGGAGCCGACTCCCTGAATCCCTAACTATTCCTCTTCCCCTCTGTCTCCGGCGAATTCATCGGGAAAAATCTAGAATCAAGAACCGTTACTCCTCTCACAAATTAAAACCGCTAATCCTCTCAAAATCAAAACTCATTTAGTTCTCTCTCTCAATTTCGATTCTCTTTTCATTCTCTCTCTCGCAATGCCTCCTCGAAGTCGACACCGAAAGAAATCCTTTGTGACAAGGGCGCAYGTTGGGCTTCCGGTAGTAGYAAGAGACACGAAGYATGTAGAAGGAGAGGAAGAAGTTGATGTTCCCGTAGTAGAAAATACGATTGAAGAAGCAGTTCCAGAAATTGGTGAGGGTTCTCAGAGAAGTAATCAAGAAGGAGAGGGTGTTGTTCGGGAAACAGGTGTTCCGGA